TCTGCAACCAACTCTATCTCCATTTTTTTTAGCCTTCATACTATCAATCAAACTTTAGTATATCGCCCTTATGAAATTTGATTGCTTCAATAGACGATGTTAGAAGCAACATTTTTTTGATCAACTTTATCTATTTTGTATCCTTCAATCATGTATAACAATATCAACTGAGCCTTGTCATGATTTATCTCTCAAGGTTGATTGCTCTTCTCTGCGAGAATATTCAATTCTCGCTCTCTAACTTACTGCAGATGTCTTGCACAACATCTTTAACTTCTTCATAAACACCTATAAGTGTTATTTATTTATACATCGATAGATTGAACTCTCATTTGTGGATATATATGAAAAGTTGAATTGCATGACGAACTATTTTTTATCTATTGAATAAAAATTAGCTAATCAAGTGAGATAAAATTCAGGAAAAAGGTCCGTATATCTCTATAATGTTTAAAATTATTTGTTTTCTTATTTTTCAATAAAATCTTAGAGCTTGATATCTTTCCCGTGTCGGCATAATCATTTCCTAACGTTGCGTTTTACATCAAGGAAGTCTCTTTTCTCTTCCCATTTAACTGAATGAAATTTAGATAATAGCAATATACAAAGAAGCATTTATAATACGTGAAAACAAAAGTCTCTCCACCTATTCCGTTGTTCTCTTATATAGTCGTTATTCTCCAAGTAAACACTGAAACATGTCTACTAAAAATGATCTAAGAAAAAAGTAGCATCAGATATCTACTAAACATTATCAGAATGAGAAGAAAATATAATCATATGTCGCATGGATTTCATGATTAATTGTTCGTACTCTTTCATTAATATATACCTAATTTCCAAAATTCTTTAGTTCTAATATGACCCAGTGGCGGAGAACGACACTTTTAATTTCAATTTCCATAAGGATTCTCGTTCCATATCTCCTCGGTCACTACTTGGATGAGTCATAGTATAAAATAAACCAGAAAAATGACTAAGAGACAAAATAGAAGGATCATGGAGACTTCTTAATTAACGAAATGAAAAGTCAATGAACATAAAATCACATACCATTGTCTGTGAATTGGTAGACTAAATTTACAAAGGAGATCAAATAGTTGCACGAAAATATTAGACAAACTTGCTTTAAGGTATCTCTTTTGCATGACCATATACCACTACAAGAAAAACGGCCTTTAAGGAAGGGAAATCTGGTCCTTAAAAGCCAAAATCTGGTCCCAAAAGGGTATATTACGACAGGGAAAAACTGGTCGTAACCCGTCGTAATAGCCTCCGCCGCAAAAAGTAATTAACGACGAGTCTAAAAACCTGGTCGCTAAATCACTTTAGAGACGGGGAAAAAAACTGGTCGTGAAATACTTTTAGAGACCACATTTCTCGTCCCTAATAGGCGATGAAAAAATATTTATTCCTGTCGTGAAATCTTTTTAGCGACCAACTGTATCAGGTCCTAAATTGCCTTTTAGGGACGGACAGAAAACCTGGTCGTGAATAACATTTTGAGACTATATTTCTCGTCCCTAATAGACGATGATAAATATATATATTCCCTTCGTTAAATCGTTTTAGCGACCAGCGCCAACTTGTCCTAAATTATCTATTAGAGACCAACAAAACATCTGGTCGTTAAATCATTTTCACGACCAACCTTTAACTGGTCCTAGATTATTTTTAGAGACGACGTTCCTATTTAAGATAATTTTGTAATTTAGCAAAATATTCATGGTATATTAATAACCATGAGTAGTCCTAAAAGCTCAATGAAACAAAAAGTAATTTTTATCAATAAATATCAAATTGTTATCGAAAAATCTAGATATAAAAAGATAAGATATCAAGGTCTAATCCAATGATGATGTTACTTTCTATGTTTTCTCAACACCTCAACAAAAAAAAAACTTAGCTATCATCCTGCGCTGGACTATGATATCAAGTTTTGCATAACATTTTTAGCAAAATAAATAATGAGCTTGTGCATCTTCTAAGCTTGCATCTTGACTTGTAGCTTCAATCTTCAAAACCTGTAAGTACAAAAGATTGAAAAAAAATGATAAACAACTATTGGTAAAATAACATATATAATTTAAAATGAGCAATAGTTAAATCGCTTACCCCAAAAGCAGTCTAAATTCACGAGGTGTTATCCAGCAACATCAACAAGGCTACAAGAATATAAGAAAAATTAATTAGAAAAGCTTTGGAATGGTTAATCTTACTTTGGTTTGATAAATTCCAGTAAGACAATTCGAGATTTACCATTCGAGATTGACCAAGAGCCTGGGAAGTTCAGTTCAATTCAGGCATTCAGGTTGTGAAAATTCAGTCAATGACAAAATACTACTGTTTCATCATTACAGTCATTTCAAACTTCAAAGATTCTAATTTAGGAAATTGCTGTATTTGGCAGACATCTACCAGAGATGCTAGCGATAAGATGTAGTAGAAAGGAGCCAAGTCCATCATGTGAAAAGTGTGATACCTTAACCAAAGTAGCTACCCCAAGCACTTGCAAACATTCATCTCTGGTAATGAAGCCCAAAACCAGTTAAAATCTTTGAAAGATCGTTAATATTTGCATCTTTTAAAAAACTACTTATGTCACTTGACAAGCACAAAGGAATGGATAGCTTCTTAGGAAACTAGCATGAAAGATCGTTAAAGCTATGACAGCACCAAAATAAATCTAGTATTTGAACCTGGATACCAGCAGTAGAGATCTACTTGATAATGCAACCAAATAATCTTACAGGAAACAGTCAGGTACCATACCAAAAGAAAAAAAGCAGAAAGCACAATTTCAATATTTGGCTCTTAGTCAAAATCATAGCCATTTGTAAGAGATCTTGAATTTTTGTTTGCGGTTACTGTAGGAGATGGGCAAATTGAGGCTACACGTTTCAGTGGAGCAGCAGGCCTAAAGGTAGTTGTTGATCGAGCAGATGCACCTGTGAAAATTGGGAAGTCTACAAATGATCATATTGCAACTGCTGATCGAAGAGTTTCTACAGATTGTAAGGTGGTCAATGTAGAGGATAAATGTACAAGTGCTCAAACTGAAACTGAGTAGGAGACTCTGGCACAATATGTTGCTGAGGACCAGATTTTAGACAGTAAAATGACTGGGCAAACGGGTGTTGGTATGGAGGTGAACACTGGTAAATCAGTTGGTGCAGGTAAGGGTACTAATACAAATACTAAAGAGGGGGTTTGGAACGTGGTTTCAGCAAGAAAATCACCTACAAAATAGGTGGTATCACTAAGACAAAAACCAGCAAGTTTTCGAGCTGCAACTGGGGTGGTTAAAACTAATGCTGATCGAGCAACAGATGTAGTGGTAGGACATGTTGACAAATATGGAAGTAAAGCAGCTACTGCATGTTCAAAGTTGGAGGCTACTGTAGCGTTGAATATGACTACTGATCGACCAAATGTTGGGGCTACCAAATCTACTGCTGCACTTGTTGATTTTGTTGAAAAACTAGCAGGTGACGTGGAGACACAAAATGGTATGACTACTGCAGGTCAGGTTTTTGTAGTTAACAAGGTGCAAGAAGAAGTTGAGACCAAAAATGCAGTCATTTCATTTGGGCACTCGCCTACACATTCTGGAAACTTAAAGCAATGCCAGGTTTTTGGTCGAGCACCTGAAATTTCCAATAGCAACTGTATAAATGTAGGGAACTTTAATGTTCCAAAAGATGGGGCTAAGGTTGATGGTACAACTCAGATGTTAGCTGAGAAAGATTGGACAATGGTGTCCACCAAAAAAATCATTTCAAATAAGAACATGCAACAGTTTGTGAATGATACAGCAGAACACAAGGCAGTGGCTGAACAACATGAAAATTGCAGTCCTCGACCTGCACCTATTTTTGGTAATATAGGTTTCATTTCACCTGCTAAATCAGTGGAAAGCTCTGCAACAAATAATACTACAGGTGAACAACTTGAGGGGCAGCAGATACATTTCCAGCTGCATCAATCTTTGATGGGCAATACTGGGACAGTTCCAGATGCAAACACAATACCAGCAGCACGAGATGATTGCGCAATGGTAGGTACAAAACATGATGCAACAGATGTACATGATATTGGGATGTCCAAACAACTAGTTCCAATTACAATCAATGATCAAGTAGGGCCAGGCAGACTGGATTTGGTTAAAAAAGTAGGTGCTCGACGAAATAAATCTTTGAGTAATCTGGAAAAAGAATTAACAAACACCCAAGCTCATAGTTCGAATGCACCTTTACTACACTTTTCCAATCCTCAAGTAGAACAAATCATCAAAGATGTTCAAAAAGAAATGATGCTGAATACTACCATGCTTAAACAGCCTTTAGTCACATTGAACACCTCTGTGTTTGATATCCCCTCTCAATCAGTTAATTCCTATGGGGAATTTGAAGGTGAACATGCCTTGTCAACTGGGAACAACAATGAGATCATTCAAACAAAGGTGAAGGGGATGGCTATTAATTCTAAATTGTGGAAAGAACAACGTGAGGAGGATGATGAAGAGGAGTGGGGTGATGGTTTTGCTGGATACTCATCGGAAGAAGGAGACCACGAGGTTGATCAAGCTACAGGAAATCCTCAACCAATAAAAGAAACTTCAACAGACTAAGGCAGCATGTAGAAAGTTCCACTAATAAGATTAAAAAACATAAGCTAACCAAACATTAATATCCTAAAAACCATACTTGAATCACTTCAGTTCTGTAATATAGAAGTTGACTATACACAAATCTTGAATAAAAATTAAAAAGTTGGGTATATGGTGACTAACTTGGTCAGCAGACAAAAACAGTGGTCATTCAGTTGAAATAGGCGATGTCGTCGTAAGCGGGACATGTGATTGTTGAGCAGTGAACTTCTAAGGTAGACAAACGCTCATTCAAGGATTTGTTTTTCTCATTCAATGATTTGTTTTCTTCTCGAGTTAAACGTAGCGCGGATAGTAATTCAGCCTTTGAAGAAGTTGCACCTTTCAAGTCTTTCGCCTTCACTCCACCCCTAAATCCAAACACATGGCTACGAGTTTGAGGTCCACAGCATTTTTCTACAATCTCTATGCTAGGTAGAGATGGATCGGCTTGAACTATTTCTTCGATTTGAGCCTACAAAATATATAAAAACACATTTAAAATCTGAATCCACCATAATTTCAAGTAATTTACATATTCAATTTACCAAACATACATGTTTTTCAATTGCTTCAGGTTCAACAAGCTTGTTATCTTTCTTACGGGTCTCAAAGAAAATTGTTGCCAAATCCGGTGGGTTGCCATCTTTTCCGCCCTTTATATCAAAGGCAAACATGTCAAATAACAGCTCGTAAATATTTTTCTTAGAAAAATCGAAATTTTATGATAATACCTTTAGATAAATGATCTCACGAATAGGCTTGCTACCAATATGATGAAGCATCTTCAACTTAGCTCGATTTGCTGCATTCCTGTTGCTTCTCGCCTATATTTGTGAAACATTAAGATTAAATGTAAGAAATTGGCCCTTGATGAGCATCTACTGACCCCAACAGAATATCAATGTGGACTTTGTTTACTCAAAGGCTACTTACTATCAAGTTGGCCCCTGATGAGCATCTACTGACCCCAACAGTAACAAGATTATTGGCTGAAGCAAATAAGTGTGACAAAATACTCCTCCACTTGAAGATATTTGCAAGTTTCTGTTTGGTTTGACTTAAACATATACATGTCTAGTCTGACAGCAAAAATGATAAAGAGCAGCAAAAATGCTAAAGACTAGTTTTACAAACTTTCTTTGCGACAAATAGCTTCAGAAATAAGTACTAGTATAACTTAATAGAGCTGATATTTATGTTGCCGGGGGTTGGAGTTTGAATTCATTCTGTTGATCTAAAGTTGAAGGAAGAATTTTGGTAGACAGTATCCATTACGTGAATCTGAATGTGGAGTTTGAATTCATTCTGTTGATCTAAGCCTTTTTATAGCTTCATCGTAGTTCTAACTTTTCTATTTCCCCTGTTTTGGTGCATGTGTCGTGATTCTTAAGCTGAAACTACACATCGAAACACATAATTCGATAACTCAAATAAGTGAAACTTAGACGAGAGTTCTTGTCAGCCATCATGTATATCTGAAAGGATCCAGACATAAGCTCTTGAAACATCAACTTTTCAACTGAAGTGCTAGGGAGGGGAATCAGGCTGCAGATGCTTTAGCGAAATAAATTATTAAATCACTAGGCATACCTGAAAACTTTCTGAAGAAAAATGTTCCTTTACTAACCACTCCCATTCTTTCTTGTCTACTCCCTTTGGAATATTCTTAAGAGCCTATTGGATTGGCTTATCCTTCACATATTTTGCATGCAAGTGTCCTCTCCATTTGTTCCATAACTCTTTCATCCATCCGAAGATATGTTCACGATGATCATTCATGTCAACACTCTCAAATTTATCCTATAATATTCAAAACATGAGTTAGAGTTAAATATTCAGTTTTAGTAAATAATCATGATATTGTGTTAGGAGCACATTAAACTGAATCTTTCGCATTTTGATACTCTGTTAGGAGTACATAATCTTGTATAGGACCCAGCACAAGGCATAAGCATAAAGGAACAGATAACATGGCATAAAGGAATAGATAACAGGGCATACGTATCTATGATAACAGAACACACAAGGCATAGGCATAGGCTACAAAGGAACAGATAGTGAACCACAAGGCATAGGCACCAGCAGTATCCTTGTTATCTTCAGTCACACACACTTCTCAAGATACCAAAATATATTATATGCTAAAAGTTCATGGCTGTTACAAACAGAGGGGGAAATACTTCGCTTTTTGATGTCAGGTTCAAGTATTCCATTTCTTGCATTTTTGTTCCTTTATATCGAGTTAAAAATTGGAAAGATTGAGGTTTCTTCTACATTCTATCTGCGACTCAGGTGGACTTGGGCTTCTTCTGATGTCTTAGTTCATGCCAACAATCTTCTTAAGGAAGAACAAGTTGACAATGATCGCTTTATTTAACTGAGCGAGAAGTAACAATTTTTTTTTTGAAAAGGCAATGAAATATTTAGTTTATAAATGTAGCATGCTAGGATCAGCTGATGCAAAAGTTAAAATAGGCATCAACCTAAGCTACTCCAAGCTTGTCAAATTATAATATTGGCAACAGGGAAAAAGAGGAGTATTTACAGAACAGATCACCTCGGCAAAGTTGCAACAGAAATTTTGAGCTACTGAATAATACAACTGGAGGATATGCTGGAACAAAAATGGAAAGACATCAAGCAAGGAAAGCTGCCCAGTTCGTACTTCTGGACAGAGACCATGTATGCACTTTTTACACAGACAATGTTGTGACTGAAACTGGTTCTAAAGAGGGGTAAAAAAGCAATGTGTTTCTAAATAAATTGGGCATCCAGTTCTCTAATGAGAAGGAGCTATTGTCGCACGACGTTCAAGCAGTCTAGCTAAATTAATTGCCGATTAAAAATATTAACAATTATCGGTCAGAGATTCGTTTCACTCGTTGTGATTCCTACATAGAGGCACAAACAGGAACACATGTATTCAACTAAATGATATGCATCTTCACTGTATAAATATCTAGCTTACCTCAATAGCTGCCCACATGTGATTCAGCTTTTCTTTTTTAATATCATTCCACGATGATACTCCCAACGGACACATATTACGGTCACGAACGATTCTTCCCAAGTGCCTCGAAAACAGTTTGCTATTTGTTCCAACTGTTCGATTATTGTAAAAGGTTACTTTCAGCTTTTGTCCGACTTCAAGTGATGCAACTTCTTTGCACTTGTTCCTCCCTCGAACTCTCTTTACCTTTCCAGGATTAGATGAAGAACCTACAGCTACATAATTTGGTAAAAAGTATAGCAATAAAATTCAGTTCTATAAATTAATCACATATTGATTCAAAATATCATACCTGTTTCAGTTGCTTGAGTGTGTTGCATAACTTGATCAGTAGATGGAGGCAATGAAATATTGGTTTGCATATGCTCTTTCTCAAGAACCAAGGAGTTTTTATCCATTGTTCGCATTTCTTGGTTAGAAGACATGGTAAATTCGATCTTGTGCTTTTAGAAATCCCTAAAGATGAGCACAAAGATCTAGGAGTTTCCCGTCCCTTCCCTATAGAACCTAGACAAAAAAACCATTTTAGTTTGGCATTTAATTTTAGTAATATATGCAATTAAAAATACCACAGATTTGGAAAAACTTACTTGCTTCAACTTTTTGGGTATATTGCTTAACTTGATCAGTAGATTGAGGCAATGGAATATCAATTTGCATATACTCTTTCTCAAGAACGATAGAGTTTTTATGTATCGTTCCCGTTCCTTGACTAGCAGACATGGTAGAGCTTTTAAGCCCTTGTCCTCGTCCCTTCCCAACAGCACATTAAAGAACAAAGATAACTCAATAAGCGGTTCACACACTTCTTTGGACAACATACCACGAAGTGCAAGGGGGAGTATATGTTGCAGAAGAACATGGCAATCATGACTTTTCAACCCAGATATCTTGAGATCTTTCAGGTTCACACATTGAGAAATATTAGATGAAAGCCCATCAGGAACCTTTAAATTCTTTAGGAATTGGCGTAATTTGTGCTTACATTCAGGAGGCAATGTGTAGCATGCAGTTGGAACTTCAACTTTCTCCCCTCTTTGGATGGGGTGCAATTCCGGCCTAATATTCATGTCTTGCAAGTCTAAACGTGTTTTAATTGTATCCTTGGTCTTTCCTTTGACATTCATGATTGTTCCCATAATATCATCACATATATTTTTTTCAATATGCATAACATCCAAATTATGTCGCAACAAGAGAGACTTCCAATATGGAAGTTTAAAAAAAATACTTTTCTTGTTCCAATTATCCTTTTGATTTTCATGTGATATCTTCTTCCTTTTCTTTGGATCCTTTGTTAACTGTATCCCTTCAAGATCTTGCACTTGATTAATAATCTCAATACCAGAACGCATTTTTGGTGGGAGCCTTTTCTCTTTTGTACCATCAAATGAATCCTTGTCATTTCTCCATTTGTGGCTAAGAGGAAGGTAGCGTCGATGACCCATAAAGCATTGCTTCTTACTATTAGCCAATCGAATTGAGGAGGTGTCTTTATTGCAACATGGGCATGCCAATTTTCCTTTTGTACTCTATCCAGATAAATTTCCATAGGCTGGAAAGTCATTGATGGTCCATAACAAAGAAGCATGCAACTTAAAATTCTGTTTAGATGATGCATCAAAGGTCTCAATGCCAACTTCCCACAACTCCTTCAATTCCTCTATTAAAGGTTGAAGATATGTATCAATTGCATCTCCTGGACTATCTGGACCTAGAATAAGCATTGACAAAATAAAATTTTCTTGTTTCATACACAACCAAGGTGGTAAATTATAAGGAATAAGAACCACAGGCCAAATGCTATATGAGGTTTTTGAATTCCGGAATGGCTGAAATCCATCACTAGCAAGTCCAAGTCGGACATTACGAGGCTCAGCCGCAAATGAAGGATGAAGTTCATCAAACGACTTCCACGCCATTGAATCAGCTGGGTGCCTCATGATTTCATCATCAACTCTTTTATCCTTATGCCATGTCATTAAAGTAGATGTCTTTGTAGACATAAACAATCTCTGAAGCCTAGGCTTTAATGGAAAATAGCGTAAAGTCTTTGATGCTATTTTCTTACCTTTTTTATTCCTTGTTTCCCCGCTATGTCTATCTATTTTCCATCTAGACGCTCCACAAACTTTGCAAGAATCAAGTAAGCTATCCTCCTTCCAATATAACATGCAATCATTAGTACAAGCATCAATTTTCTTGTAGGAAAGGCCAAGGTCTTGAATTATCTTCTTTGCCTCATAATATGATTTTGGCAAATCGGCACCATCAGGTAACAACTCCTCTTTTAACATTTTCAATAACATTGAAAATGACTCATTCCAACGACCCATACTTTTGATGTGAAGCAATTTAATCAAAGAGGAAAGCTTTGAAGCTTTTGAATTTTGGTACAGTGGCTGCTCGAAATCCTTCAATAGCCTGTAAAATCTTTTTGCTTCAATATTTGGTTCCTCCTCAATTAAATCATCACAATCAGTGTTCACAGTTCTTCCATCAATATTAGAATATAGATCTCTCAACAGTTCTTCTACTTCATCTTCACTTTCACATTCTTCTAGTTCATCACCATCTTCATCTTCCGATTCTGACAGTGGCTCACCTAAATTTTCCCCGTGATGATACCAAAATGTATAATTTCGAATTATTCCATATACTTTCAAATGTGTCTCAACTGTCTTACGAGTTCCTAAAGTTGTGTTACAACATTTGACACATGGACATCGTATTTCATATTCTTCTCCTGTTTTCTGAAAAGCATAATCCAAAAACTTTTGCACTCCGATTAAGTAGGCTTCATCGAGCCGATTATCAACAAGTTGCATCCATTGCTTACTAGGTGCCATAACCTTAGAGAGTAAATAAAAATTACATTAAAAAAATAAGATAAAAGCTAAGAAAAATACTACGATGCACACTACTTGTTACGATCAAATGAACACGACTGGTTCTACTCTAAGGTCGCACTTTCTAGTCGACTCGAATCCTCTGTTTTCTGTTAATACATAGCAATATACAATCAGATGACACTAAGATAAATAATAGATTATAAATTAACTTGTAATTAAAGATGTTGGTTCCTAAAACATGCATACATGGTTCCTTCTAGCCTGCTCCGAGATCGAATTAAGTACTTACACCAAAGAAAAATATAAATACTTTACGACACAAGATCATCCAAAATAGTCGTGCGCGACTAAAAAACTACTTCTTGCTAGTTAGTGTGAGCTCATGAATTTCTCTAAGTTCTTAACATGTATCATGATTCATGTTTCCTGCTATTTCTTTTTTCTTACAAACAAACACCCATATCCTAATGCTTAGTTATTATATAAAGGAAAATATATGTGAATACACTGTTAGTTGTACGTTTGACATTACTTGGCTCATAAACTAATTTCTCCTTATAATTATGGATGATGAAGAAAGAACAGAGAAAAATAAAAACTTTTTTCATATGTAAATACATACACCAATATGTATGCTGGTTTTTTAGTTCGGAGGTACTGTGTAAGAAGTTAATCTGTTGTATTATCGTCAAACGTCTCTACTCAAAAATAGGTTCGACGATCAAAGTCAATAAAAGGAATGACATCTCAAATATTCTCTAATTTGAATCTCTGTTTCTTGTGCAACCATTGCTACTCTAGTTCTTCTTTACTTCCATACATCTCAAATATTCTCTAATTTGGAAGTGATGCGTAAGCTGCTGCACAAGCTTTTATTGGTTTGTATTTCATGAAATAATTAGCTTTTTCAAAACTGGTATGCGCTCGGAATGAAATAAAATTCTTCAGACAATACGCTACAAACTTGAATACACATCAGAAAATTAAACAATCATATCAGGAAGCCCAACCCAATAATCTTTCCATTGATTATATAAAAGAAAAAATAAAAGATAATGAAATCTTACCAATTTTTTAATGTTAGAGAAGAAGAAGAAGAAGAAATCAGCACACTTAGAGAAGAAACTGAGCAACTTGAAAGAGGAGGCATACCTTGAGAAAACACAATCTGTGGAGATTCGGGCAGAGCTTCAAACACGACCAGATTCACAATATGTTTTTGAGAAAACACAGATAAACCACCGGAGATTAGGGCAGAGCTTCACACACGACCAGATTCCACAATTTGTTTTTGAGAAAACACAGATAGACCACCAAAAATTAGGGCACAGCTTCACACAAATCGGCGCTAAAGCTAGGCGGAATACAGAGGGTACTATGTTTTGAACTTTTGATGCGGTAAGGTCTTTTTTTAGTTTTTAGAACCTTTTACTTTTAGTTTTGGCGCCTAATTTTTAGAAAATAATAATTTTTTAATATTTTATATTAGATTTGGCGGCAGTCTCTCACACTCAAGGCCTCTCAATTATAATTTGGGACCAGTTACTATTTTTTAGGGACCAGATTTAATACCTTTCGCAATATAATGTAGCATTAAGGACCGCAATATAGACTCGTCCGAATACATATATTATTAGCGACGGGATTATTAACTCGTCCATAAAAGTTGGTCGTAAATAAGGCTTTTTCTTGTAGTGATAGTTGGCCAGTTCACATTGTAAACTTGTATTATCTATCCAAGTGAAATCTTCATTTAATTCTATTGTAACATATGAACTTCCATGCAAGTCTTAATAGCGGTTTTTTTTCTTGCAGAAGACCTTATGGTCATGCTTGTGTGTGGTTCTGATCTGCTTGAATCTTTCAGCACACCTGGAGTTTGGATACCTGAGCAGGTAAGTTCATTTAAAGGGATTTATCAGAAGCGAAATACTTCCTCCTTCATGTTGGATTGAAGTTTTGCTCTTATAAGTGTTGTGTAGAAGAAATATGGTATGCTTATTTGTTGATTTTAGAGGTCACGATCATATGTAGAGACTTTGGCTTGGGTTGTGTCAGGAGAGGTGGTCAGGATGTTGAAAAGATCATTGTTGGTGATGATATTTTGAATGAATATAAGGTAACTTCATTAAGAACTCAAAACTGCTGTCCCTTGTTCTCTTAGCAGCGAGGCTCTGTCCCTTCCTGCAAGAGTAGAAAGATCTATTCTTTGTCCTTCCTTGAAGGACGAGATGAGGATGAACACTTGCTCATTCCTGTTGTCCTCTATCTATGTTCATTTGTGATGAATTTTTTTCTTTCTGAAACAAGTGCTAGTTACAGATTCTCCAGCCAGTTGAGGGAGATCTTGGCTTCATTTGAATATAACTTATAAGCAACACAAAAACCTCAAGATGTCTTTAAAAGTGCTATAATGTATGTTTTTTTTTCATGGATTACTTATTAAAAAAACATTATATGAAGCAGACAATTGTTATTCAATTTATATCTAATATTCTCTTGTGATAGAAATCTTTCCGGTTGATACTATAAATTCTGTTATGAGTTCAAAACAGCTATCCTTATACAATTGCATTCTACAAGCGTATTTCCAGTGATCGGGGTTCAAAGTGTTGGCCGACCAAATATTAAAATTCCAAACGGCCTTTAACATCTTGCTTTTTATGGGATCGATATGGTATGTTAAAAATAATATTTTAAAGGTATCTTTGGTGTATTCTCTATATATATTTAGCTAATGTATAATTTGTTTTTAAAATTATCTTGTGTAAACTCTGTACTCAATCACCATCATATAAAAGTATGATGGCGGCAATATTTAACATCAATAATTTACGCATTTCCATGGTTAGATTTTTGTGGATCTTCTATGAATTTTTTTGAACCTTTTATCATGGCAGAAGTTGCGCATCGAATGTTGGGGCACAATATAGCACGGACCCTTACCATCATACTTGAAGCTCGAGGCTTTGCTCTATGAGGATGTAAATCTGTTGACATCCATAGAAACATTTGGATGTGCATACAAGATTTAAAGATAGTAAATATATTCTCACTATCCTAGAATTTCGACTTATCATTTCTAAGTGTTGGGTGTGCAATTAAAGTCTTGCATTAGTGGTAGCAAAAAATTTGGGAACCGACATGTATAAAATTTTTAATTATGTGTGAGCCTTGTTGGGGAAATAATACAGGCTTGACGCAAAGCATGCAATATCAATTGCTTGGTGTCATACTAGGAAATGCGGTAGAAAAATAAACGATCTATTCTCTTTTTTTACCATTTCATCATTGAGCTCATTGAGCGTACAATTAATATGAGTTTAGATTTGGTAGGTTAAGAATGGTGCTGACAGAGTGAAGGTGTGGGGTTCGGTTTACTTTCTCTTACGAGCTTAGAGACATCCCGTACAAGCTTAGACATGCACGTAGACAAGAAGAATCTAGTAGCGGGCAGTGGCGTCAAGGGTGTTCAAGCATCATCCTTCACCGATATGTTGAGTGCGGCAGTCAAGTGGTTCAGGATGTTTGCAGTGATATGTTGCTCGCGGTTTCCAAGTTATCTATCTATTTTGTTTCCCAAAATTAAACGCAGACCATCGTGCGTATGGTCTATTTGACTCTTTTTCAATTTAATTTTATTATAAAATAAAATAACTCTTAAAACTTAAAATTTAATATAAACATAAATCACTAAACTTAAAAGTAGTTTTTTAATTACAGGTTATTTCTTAAACAAATTTTACCATTTAAAAGTCAAGCTCTACAAAAATTACTTAAACAAAAGCTCTTGATGGAGTACAAATTACAAGCCCTCTTCACGCTCTCTTTTCTGTAATTTTATGCTTACTGATAGAATATATGAGTCCACCAAACTGTATAGAGACATGGTCTTGTAACAGTTCCCGCAGTACTAACTATTGTAACAGTAAGTAAATGACACGGAGGATTTTTATGTGGGAAAATTCCTGCTCAAGGGGATAAAAAATCACGACCTACACTGGTATAATTTCAACTTCACTACTGAGCAATCTTTAGATTACAACCTATTGTAACCTAGGGATTAAACTCTTAATCCCTCACAAACTTGTATTACACCTATTACAAGCCACTTTGCAACACACTTATTACCAAGACTTCAACTCATGGCTAACTCTAGTCACGACACAAACGCTACGAGTTTATGGTTTTTGAGGTTCCTAACTCGAGCTTCTAAATAAGCACAATAAGAATTACAATGAAGAACAAATACAAAGATACAACTCAACTAAGGACATACAAAAGACTCGTTATGGAACTGGTCCGTAGTAGTGGTGCACTTTGTTCTCGATACACTTGTGACTTTAATGCTAGATAATCAGATCTTGAATGCTTGAGAGAAATCACAAAATGTTCAAGTTATGTTTTGTTGTAATGCTCCTTGTTCATATGCTTTGGACGACATCACTTGGATGATGTACACACTTGGTTGGTACAAGGCCCTTCCCAATGGGAAGTGACTGCTTCATTGTTTCTGCACTGTAGCGTGCACAGTTGCAGGCAGTCTGTCACGACCCAATTTTCCCTCTGTTGGGTATCGTGATAGCACCTAGTCTTAGGGACTAGGTAAGGCTAACATTTATTTGATAACAATAATAATAATAATAAAGGAAAACTAACAGTCTCGATATAGAAGTCCTTACAAAGTTTACAATTTCCCCAAAACCGATAATACTAGTCATAAGCTCTACACAGTTTATTACAACTTCTAAATACAACTGCTTGGAAATGAGTAAGAACAGTTGAATAAAAGTAGGAAGGTGACTCCGAAGCCCGCGAACATTGCAGCAGGTTTACCTTGAGTCTCCTCGACAATGATCCGTACATCTACTAACAGTCAATACCTGGATCTGCACAAAAATGTGCAGAGGTGTAGTATGAGCACATCACAGCGGTGCCCAGTAAGTATCAATACTAACCTTAGTGAAGTAGTGACGAGGACTAGTCAAGGCACCACTGGTCTAATAAACTAAACAGGCATAAGTATAGAAATAACGGAACATAACATCTATCTAATGTCTACACGATATGGCTAACAACATAGCAACTACAATAAGGAAGAAAAAACGGCAAACAACAACGGAACACCATAATAATACACAGAAGGGTGGACGGAAACACAACCAAAATTCGGAAATCACAATACTGTAAGGACAAGTAATAACT